GTTGTTGATGTGACTAATCAAACCTGGCATACTGTTTACTTTTCTTGACTAGATTGCACATCTTCCTATGAAATCCACGAAAATAAGAAAGAGGCTTCGTCACTTCATAAAAAGAAAAAACGGAAAAGCACCCGACATCCATCCATTTACCGGGTGTGCGAACAATTTTGCATGGTAACTTTCCCAATCTGTGCATAATTTTTAACAGTCTGCTCTGATTGTGTGATGTCAGATAATTTTTCAGCTTCTGTTGCAGGTCAATTAACTAGCTGCAATTTTAACAATAAATTTCTAGTGTAATTAGAACTATGATAACACAAAGAAAAGAATTGTCTAACTCAGCATATAGAAAACCGGAAATTCCTGTCGATAACCAATTAGAACCAGTCGAACAATTAATCTCAACGTTTGAACGCTAGATTTTATCCACATTTCATAGCTATGAGTGACAGATTCGCTAAAACACTTCAGTTCGCCATCTAATGTCTTTTTCGAGATATTAGTGTCTCAAATTTCAAGAGATATACAGTGGATCAGCACACGAATAAAAAGAATCAATCTCGATATTTCTTCTCCAAATCTTAATCATAACTTGAGACCATAGAGATAAGATTATCCAGAAAATTTCAGCTTGATGCCCAAATCCCTCTCGAACATATGTACATTGTTGAAAGTTATTAGAGCGGATGGTTTAGCGTGCTTTTACTTCTTCAGAGGATCTGTTTTTCTGCAAATACCAATCCTATATTCGGGTAGATCACATTTGAATGCATATGAACAGAAAGATAAATCCACTTACAAAGGAAAAAGAAAGTGTGGGGGTTGGTGTATAGAAGTTACCATAACGCGTTTCGAATGATACTCAATCAGTTTCATCGGGTGGCTTAGTATCTCTAGTGCTATTCGAAGATTTATGAAAAAACCTAGATCAATTCGAGATAATTAACCCTTTTGGGGACGGTAGTACAAGGATTGTAGCACCTGTTTTTTTCAATAAAGAAAAAATTGTTTTCTTTACACTAGAGCATTAGGCCTGAAAGGCCATAAAGATCATATGTTGTATCATTTGTCATCCCATGCATATCTTTACTTTCTTTCTGTCGTACAGATCCTTCTCAGAGATTCTCTTTTCTTTATGCACCTGTACAACGACGTCATGAGTTCTCTATCTTCTTCTAATCTATAATTTTTCGAGAATATTCTCAGTCCCCATTACGCTTGTATATATATCTGCTTCTTTTTTCATTCATAAAATTACGTTGTTCTTCATTCTGCAATAGAATTTTCGTTTCTCTTTCGCTACAAGGTACTGCTGTGTCGTAATTTTTAAATAAACGACATGAAAAATAGTTATCACATGAACTCTCAACTTTTTTTTATTATAGATTATTCAACAAACTTTGTTACTTTTTTATTGAAAGGCAAACTAAACGACTTGTATTTTTGACTTCTTTATATTTGGTTTATAATTAAAACTAAACAAATGGAATTCTATGAAAATAACGAAGTCGATGACGAGTCATGTAATTTATACACTAGTGAAGACAACAACAAGGGTGACTCCGATTTTAATTTTAATGAATTAGCACATAGTTTAGACGATCTTCGAGTTGCGGGAGAAGATTCAGATGGAAATGAATTCTATGAATGAAAGTCATGTCGTCGATGGAGGGTTTACCTCAATTTCTCTCAAGGAAGTGACTCCAATTTCAGTTTTCAGAAGCTTTTTCATCGAAGAAATTTTAAAACTAATTACTGATCAAATGGGAAAGAAGAGAAAGGAAGAAAGAGTCAGAAAAAAGCCAATAACTGGAAGGATGCCAGCAAGAAAGATATTGAATCGTTTCTTGGAATAACTATTCTAATGGAAATCAATAACTTGCCAAAGATGAAACTTTATTGGAGTAAAGATATTGTTTTTCGTAATAGTTTTACCTCTTCGATTATGTTAAGAGATTGTTTTCTTCAAATTTTTTATGATTTACATTTGGCTGATAACCCATTAAAACGAAAACGAGAATCTAAAAATTATAATAGAATTTAAAAGGTTAAGAATTTCACTGAAACTTTACTTAAAAATTTTCAAAACAATTATAACATTGGTCGCTATGGTTCAATCGACGAAAATATGGTAAAATTCAAGGAAGGATCAATTCTCAAACAGTACATGCCTCTAAAACCAATAAAAAGAGGCTACAAACTTTGTTGCTTATGCGACTCAATTATTGATTATTTATTCAACTGTAAATCTACTTAGGAAAAGAAGAAACCAGTAAAAAAGAAATACCTCTATGAGAACGTATTGTTTTCAATCTTATCTCTGGCCATAATTTCGACGGAAAATATTTGTACTTCGATAATTTTTTTACTGCGATCGAGTTATTAACTGGAACGATTAGGTCAGATTGTGCGGGTATTCCATCGAATTTTGCCGCAAAAGAAAAAAATAGAACGAAGATATCACAAGTCAATAGTTGTGTCAAATACTATATTGTCTTCAGATGGATGAATACCAAACATGTTTTTTTTGGCTTCAGATAACTGTAAAGACAGTAAAATTGTTCTGGTTTCTCAACAACTGAAAAACGGTCAACTTATTAAAATTTATTGTCCAACAGCAATAAACGATTAGAATCGGTTCATACATGAAGCTGATCGATTCAACTAAAGAATATTCCACAAAACTCTCGATCGCAAATCTCGAAGAAACTGGCTTCGTCTTTTGTATTTACCAACAAAAACAACATGAAGAAGATGTGCCTACTGTAATACAAAAGAACTACAAGTTAGATCTAGCATTGAATGTTATACTTGCAAATTAGCATTCTATGTAAAAGATTGAAAAAATTAATTTTTTAATTATCATAAAGATTTTATGTAATCATTTAGAGCCAAATAAAATAAATTGATTAAAAAACCAATTCCGTCCCCAAAGGGTTAAAACGTACAAAACTATGAGCTAATATGCCTATATAAAGACTGATCATCTATTTTATAGATAGAATTCTAGTGCCGAAGCCGTCTGTTTTGAATTGAGTGTTGGTTCTTTCAAAGTAACGTTTCTCTTAAATAGAACATTTCGTTGAAACGATTCATGCAATGTGAGAAAAGTACAACAGATTCCACGAAGTCGATCAACATTGAAAATGATGATTGACTGGCCTACTTGTAACTATGCAACTAGTTCTTCAGCGTCTTGTTGAGATAAACTAAATCCATCGAAATAATCGTACTTGTTCATCGTCATTAGTGCATCTGAGATGTGTGTTCCATGTTGACGTCGAGCAATCTCATGAGGTGCAAGACCGAGTAACTAGAAGACGACGACGACAGTGACAATGAAATGAAAAGATTTGTGACAAGAATATGTCGAAATACGAATCTGGTACATTAGCCAAGAGTAGACCATTATTTAGACTAACAGATTTTCTTGGAAATATAGGCAAATAAGCATATCGTCCGTTATTTTTATCTGGTAATGTTCTTGGTTGATATCCATGTCGTTCATCACTAGTTAATGAGGAAACAGCCTGTCCTACTTGATCTAAATCAATAGTATCACAATCCGTATGAAATAGATAGGTTTTGAACTTTTGCTTTTATTTGGTATCGTGTTCAGGTTATGTTATTTTTCTTCAAGATTCTTTCTGAAATAAACAAGAATATGAACAAAACGATTTTCTTTTCTTATAGAGTTTTCTTAAATATGGATAAGAGAATGAAGTTCGTTCGTCATCATAAAATAGTTTTATAGTCTAATTGTCATCGCTTTTCCATCGACAATGTACAGTATTCGTTCGATATTACGTTGAGTGCGATGAATTTTCATTCATTGTTACATTCGTTGTTGATAAGCATTATTTGTCAATATAGAGTTGATCTTCGTGAACACTAGATCCTGAAAAGTACAACACGTTGATGAAGATTCATAAGACAACCACTTTTTGAACATAGCAATCTCATATCTAAGTTTTTGTTCGTCGTCGGTAATTTTCCAAATAATTTTCGTTGAATTTAACTTACATGAAATCGGATTTTATTCGACAACTGATTCTAATACTTTTAATCAATTAAAATCCGAAATCGAGAAAATTCAATTAGTCGATTTTCATTCTATTAAACCTAATTATGTGCATGAGAACTGAATTTTAATCGACAATCGATTTTAATCCTTTAAATCAATTCAAATCTTAGTCGATGAGAATCAAGTTACTGCATTTTCTATAATAATATACTCATAACTTTATTCCACACGAGAGATCTTCAAAATCTGCAAAATGTTTACATTAGTACACCTTTAAGTAAACGCTTCATACAAATGTCAATCAAAAAAAGATGAACCGCAATTAATGAAGGTCATCCTGTTTTCGAGTGGAAAATAGCGTGCTTTGTGAATTTAAGACTGTCAAGATTTCTAAATAGCTCAGAAGATTTCCGACGATTTCATGACGCTTCGTGAAATTTCAACATTTCAAAAGTTCCGAAGACCTATAAAGAGTTCAGAAGACTTTGCTAGGATCCAAGGCATAAACTCTTCTAAAACCTCGTCAAACTTCTAAAAATCGTTAAAGCCCTATGCATAGGTATGTGACAGCTCCAGTTCGCTTCGCAGAATTGAAGAAGAGTATCGAGAGGTAAGCCTCATAACTCTCAAGGAGTGACTCGATACGGGAGATACTCATAACATTTCTAAGGCTTTTCTAATGGTACCCACAAGTTCTTAATGGCTATTGTATTGGAATACCCCTAAGGCAAGTATGTGACAACTCCAGCTTGAAGACTCGCTTGAGTTGTAGCTGTTTACTAGCTCAGCCACCATTATCTTTAAATGATTGCTGGTTCTTGCCATATGAGGCATCTTATACGATTTCTAAGACTACTTTGGAGCGGTCCTTAGGACTTTTATATATAGGTATGAGAAAATATTTATACAGTTTCATCGTATTACTATTCAATATTATTGGTATTGACGGGTGTCAGCATTGATGGAAGCGGTATTATCAAGTTCCTAAAACTTTCATTGAAACAGTGGCTCTTCCTGATAAGAATGGATTTCCATAAAATTCAACTAAAGAGTTTCATGATTAAAGAATCTCACTCTGCAACCGCATACTGAAACCAGTATGTATTCCATTTGTTGATGAAATAAAGTTTACCCCGCCACCCATGGTGAAATCATTGTTCTCTGAGAAACCTTCCTTTATTGAAAGAAGCATGTACACAACATACAGCATCTGGTTATAGATTAAGATTCCACAATTCCAAGGTTCTGTGGTGAAATGTGATGAAAATTCGTTCTTTTCTCAAAAAGTCTTTGTTTTTAGTAAAAATTTAAGGATTGTGATAATACCATTCCCATAAATACCAATATCGGCTGATACGAAATACCATACGTGCCCTGAGAAAGGTCATAACGCAGCTCATATGAGAAGAACTAAAGATTTTCTTCAATCCATGCCCAGTGTGCTGGTAAATAGCTCGAGCTAACATGAGCTAAACTAGTGAGCGCTTCCAAAGGTTGCAACCTGTCGAGCTAAGGCTATTATATACCTGTGTAGGCTCACATCCAGAAAAAGCATTAAACTTTTGACCCTAATACACACTTTTGATTCGTCTAAAATATTTTCATGCAGGTCAATAATGAATAAACATTTTTTTTCCAAAAACTTTCGATTCATCCGTTAGTTAGAAAGATAAGTTGATAGATAGGCTATTACAAATCCTTATCTGCCTAGGTGTCTGTGCGAAACACATGGTACACAACCATTCTTAGACTTCATCCATTGTAGATTTACAAACTGTCTAATGCGAGAAACTTCGAAGACTTTTCCGTATTCCAATGAGAGGACTTTTCACGTTTCGTAACACAGCTACTTTTTAGAGTATACAGTATAATCGGATAGTCACGATAGAAGAGTCTCCATTAATAGAAATAGGAACGACAACTTTTCTATGATGTATAAGTGTAGACTATAGAATGTTTCAATTATCCGACTTAATCATAAAAGCATCTTCTAATTGCTTTTGCTTCTTCTGAAAAGTATGCATTTGAGCATAGTCTCAAATTGATGCATAGACTTTACAGTAAATTATCGACCAAATTATATCGTACCTTGAGTTACGCAGCTGCTCCCAATCATATTCCTGGTCTACGAATAAATCATCGAAATTTGGACAAGATCGTTTGTTGCTCGTGGTCGAACGGACGCCGCCCGAAGATTTACTTGAATGACATGACGAGCAAACATTCGTTGTCGACAGGATGCTTGCTGGACAAAAAAAATAGTGAGCTTGGTTAAATAAGAGTGGGACACTTACGTGCCAGATACAGAAAATTAAATTTTGCAATGATCGTTTCATCTTGCATGGCAACGATTGAAACAGTTCGATTTTGGTCATTAGGTACCATTAAACACGCTGGTGTCTGAAAGGCAATCGTCTTCATATCGACGAATTCATATCTAATATTCTTTTTCTGATTCAATTCCACATAATCAAAATATATATGAAGTGCTTCAATAAAAACAGAAATATTTTGAAAAACAAATAAAGGATTAGAGCATACCTTTTTTCCGGTCGAGTTTAGTAAGAACCATCAAAACATTGTCGCCACCTGCCCAATTACCTTTTTCTGGTGCACATGTGACAAATTTTACATCTTGATCATCTGTCGTAACGACCGAAGCAGCAGCAGCAGTGACTTCGTCTAAAAAGAAAAACAACAGGTGTCAAAAAGATAGATACGTTTTTCTTACACTTACGCCTTTTTTGATTCATTTCATCCATCATCACTTGTGATAAGACCGAAGTGCCAGGGAATACATTAAATACATTATCATCAACACGTTTGGCTAAAGAGAAGACAAGTTGCGATTTCCACAATTGATATAATTTAATTAATTGTTTGCTGCGTTGTTTATTCGCAATACAAGGAATGTGTCTTTGATCTTTCAAATAAGAAAGAAAGTAGTTTTATTGTTATCATTATTTTCTTACTAGAGTCGATAACGCGGAAAGGGCTGTGTGATCTAAGCTCCTTTTGTAGTAACTTCCTGCGAGTAAGGAGAAAACTGAAGAAGAAATAAAAATTGAAACAATGAAGCATTTGTATTGTTTTTCATGGTACCTTTTTCGACCACTCATGAAATCGCCATTTGTGATCGGAAAATAGATGGCATTGTTAGAGCGATCTTTCACAACGCTAGAATCATCAGTGTCAAGTGGATATGGATGCACACATGCCATGGATACACTCTCATTGGGCACAGTGACAGAAGCCACACGTACGTAAGGACGATCAATGGCGTCATACCACTCTCCTGATATCTAATTAAGAAAAGTAATAGAATATTTTTCTGTGGTTTAGTGTTAGACATATGATTCGAAATACGAAAAAGAAGAAAAATCAAAGTTAAACGAACCACGAAACTATTGAGAAGTACTTTGTTTTAGGTTCAAAAAATGTGATGTATGAAACTCACGAGGGAACATGTTTAAAGTGCTAATCGCAGATCTGAACGAGTTGTACCCTAGTCGATAGAGCTCAATGAGCTGGTTACGATGGCAGTAAACGTTTTTTTCTCATAGTATATTTTATTAAATTTTCAGTTCCAATTAACAGTATGCAATGTCCCATACAAGGGTATAATGGAGAATTTTATGTTGGAAAAATGCTCATGGAACAAAATTCTTTTTCAACGGAAGTGATAATCGTTGAAAAATGTTTGAAACATAGAACGTGAGAACAATGAATACAACAAATAAATGAAGGAACCGTAGTTCTATATCAAAGATTGGTCGGTCTTCAAAGTGAAGGAGGAATATATCACATATGAAAATAGTTGGTATTCTGGCTCGATGTAGCCACAAACCAATCATATATATGAAATCATCGGAGCAAAGTTAATTCTGAACAAGTGGTTGAAGCTTGACTATAGCGTTACGAATTATCAAGTCGATTTTTATGATCGTCAAGGACGCAAACAACAAATAATAGATCGAATTTAATGTTGTCCTTCTGTTCTAAAAGCTGATTGAGGTTGCACGTAATTCATAATTAGCTTTCCTCAATGAGACGTGATCCTTTTCTATCTAGGAGATTTCTATGTGAATAATGAAGAACACTGCCTCTGTTCAGATAGCTGAACCCTATCAACAAAGTGATATGTCTCTTGACGTCGCATTGATCGACAACAGGCTTTTTCAACTGCCTTAATTTGAATTGAAGTGAAAAAAATGTTTTCGGCAATCGAATCAAGCTCGAATTTTCCTGACAAAGACTATTAACAGTAGTATCAGCCTCCGAGGTATGTCTCTCTTCTTAAAAACTTTCAGAACTTTGGATAGATTTGTTGACAGTGACAATAGGATTGTTAATCGCCAAACGCTTGGGAAAGTTGAAAAACCTAGTAATCTTCCATCTGTATGTGTCTATTACATAACTTTATCTACCCACAGACTGAAAACATTTTTCAAACCAAACTCATAGTTTTGTCTCGACGAAATCAAAGTACTCAACATTATGGACATAATGGTGTCTTTAATTGACATTCGAAGTCTTCTGAATTTTTCTTCGTACAAACAGAAAAGTTTTGAGCTATTTAAAGTATTCGATTCTTGCATACTATTCAGCACATTGGGTGAAACTGCCTATGGCTCATTGTTTCTATGCATCGTACTTGGATATTCGGGGTATTGGATATTTCGCATATAGGGATGAGAGTGAGATTCGGTCCATCACTCGCCGCAATCGAGATAAAGATATGTGTGCCCTATGTCAGTGAATAACCTGATACCCATCAATACCTCATTACCCAATACTCGTTGATGCCCTACGGACAACCCTAAATATCCCATATACCGTATCTACTCTGATGAGAATCTCAATAAAATGCTTCCTTTAGTTTTGGAGTTCGACTCTTAATTGAAAGACGCCAACCAGCGAGATCTTTACAGATGAGTAGAAAAATCGGCAATTATGTTGTTGTCTCAATCGAAAGAAAATTATCGAAGATTTCATCCTATAAAATAGATCTAGTGTGGATAGGATGATTGATTATAAAGGCTCTTGCACAATACGTAAAAGGATCTGACTAAGTTTTATGTGTTATATATTGGCGAAATTGCTTCTGTCTGTTCATCGCTTGTTTCGAACTATTTAACTCTGACTTTTATTTTCTCTATTAATCGAGATCGAAATTAGTATTGCTTTTTTTTACCTCTATAGTTGGATATTCGAGCTTGAACTGGTTTTTATCTTCAGCACGAATATAACGTTTAGCTACATTTTCAGATTTATCTATTTCACTTCCATATCGCTCACGATAGAATGCCTTCGGTTCTGCGATAATTCGAAGTTGTTGAATTGGTTGAGTCATTGTGAAAACTTCACTTGGTTAGTAGTTGAAGAGTCTGTAGAGAAATTTGCGAATTGTGCCAATAAACGCAACGAGACCGATGTTGATGTTGAGCTATTGATCTTTTCAGATGAATAAGTGTCAAACTGAGTTTCAAGATCTAGATGAAGTGAAAAAGGATAATTTGACGAAGGTCTCAATAAAAGAAAAAAACTTGGTCTTGCACTTAAGTCGATGCTGTCACGAAACATGACATCGTTTACGACTTCCTCTAGAGATAATCAAAAACAAAAGATTAGTGATCATATTGTGTATTATCAAGTACGAACAATACACTAAAACCTCTCAAAGTGGATACATCTCTATAGTGGACACTGATTATGAATTCAAAGAGTATGTCGCAATAACTATCATTACTCATCCAACATAATGACTCTTCTTTATTAATCGAACGGTAGAATGAAAAACAAAAACGTCTTACGAAGGAACATATTTGAGTGACCCTCTGAGAACAAGTTTAAAACCATTCTGTTCAATAGTGATCTTGATTAATATCTCTAATATCAATGTTCTAGCGACTCTCGTTTAGGTCTAAAAAAATGAGAGAATCAAACTTTTTCATTTTTATGTCTTTTTTGCTATCATAGCTGTGCCGTTTTGTTTTACTTGTATAAGATTTGTAAGAATGATCCATTTTTTTCATAGAAGAGCCGTCGAAAATAAGCAGAATCCGTTATCAAAGAAACATTTATCTGTCACAAAGAATGGAATCATATGTGTGTTTTTCAAGATTTTTGTTATTTTTAATACTACATGGTCGCCAGAAACGTCTCGGGTGCTCATCATCATCAACATCTATATCATCCCGCGTCGAACAAAGTGGTTCGTAAACGATGATGTATGGTCGAAAAGAGATATAGTTACGAAACTCTGTGTAACGACCATAAATGAGCGTCCATTTACGGCATATCTAATATGTAATGGAAGTCGTCTTACGGTGTTCTATAAGAACATAACAGGGACCGTAATACTATATAAATTTCATGTAGTGAAATATGATGAGCCAGACATAATGCAAAAAACATTGAAAGCTTTTGGTCGTGCAATATTAATTGGTTCCACTCGAAATCAGTAAAATATATACGCATCAGCTTTCGCTTCGCTTTTGTTTCAAAAAGAAAGCGTGGTCAGTTCTATCAGCTGACACATACAAATAATTGTCTTTAGTATGTGGCTAGAAACTATAGATGTGATACTGTTATTTGTGAAAAATAAATCTCTTGTTCATGCCAAATCCTGCTCATCTTTCGACGGTTCTTCTATGAAAAAATCGGATCATTCTTACAAATCTTACACAAATAAAAAGAATGGTACAGCTATGATAGAAGAAGAGGATATAAAAATGAAAAAGTTTGATTCTCAAATTTTTTTTTCCTGACCTAAACGAGCGCAGCTAAAGCATTGATATTAGAGATATTAATCAAGATCACTATTGAACAGAATGGTTTTAAACTTGTTCTCAGAGGAACACTCAAATATGTTTCCTCGTTAGATATATTGTTTGCCGTCTGTGGAATAAAATGAACTGAAAGGCTGTCGAAGAAAATGTTTGCTTATCATTTCGTGTTCGAATGTTTTATTCTTGCCCTTTTTTTTTACCACTAACCGTAAGTATATATAACAAGTTTTTTGAGTCCAAAACTCACTGCATAGTATCACAAGTCCCACAATTGGGCAGCTTTGCTGTGTTGAACTTTTCCGATGACTCTGTCACGTCTTTACGTGGAGCTACAGTTTTTAAAATTCTATCAAAAACTTTGAAGTCCATGAAAACATATTACTAAAACTTTCAGATGCATTGATCAAAACTAACTTGAGTTATTGAAATCAGAGTTAAAATCAGGACCTACTAGTAGTTGATGGAAATGTTGAACACTACAGTCAGGTCTTTGTTATTTCGAGCTGATTCCTCAACAAATTCTTACTGAAGATGACTGTATTACTTGGCTTTCGAATGAGAGGCTGCGCAGTAATAGATGCCAAAAAAATATCGATATATGTCCTTCACAAGCTGATGATAGTATTGAAGTAATAACTGTAGCGGATAAGATAACATGGAATTGAAAGCAGATATGCTTCCGATAATTTGGCGATTCCAAAATTTTTTAATCATCATCGACAGATTACATTAACAAAGTCTAGTTACTGAGAATATATGGCAAAAGTTTAACTTACCTAGAAACATATATGTCTATCGAGCAAGCGGAAAAGCGAATCCTTGAATCCACCAAGATCCAAGGATCTGTTTCTTACTCCTTGCTATTGAGAGTTCCAGTCTTAGAAATAGATATTGATCGACAAAAACAACATATTTTAAAGAGCACAAAGCAAGTGAATTCTAAATTCTTGATAAAAGAAATAAGCTGAAGAAAGTTAGGCAGCCATTTCCTGAATCGAAAGTTTCATATAGAGTACTTGTTAGAAGTCTCGGGACATATGAAAATCAAGGTAAAGTTGAACTGCTT